GTATATGAATTTCTCGAATTATGTATTTTTCATTTTCAAAAAATCATATTTAGGTCTTCATCGAGTTCATGAGTGGCCTCCTTGTAGTAATTAATTTACTCATAAAGGAGCGGACTGATCATTTTAGAGCGTAAAGGTTCAGTTTGCCAACAGTTGGAAGGCCGGACTTTTTCCAATTTTAAACGTTTCAAATCGTGTTTGAGAAAAATATTCTTTGAAAAAAAAAATATATATATGTATGTAGTATGTATATATAATTCATACACTGACCGACATATTCGATATGTATTTTATATATATATGGTATATGGAAGGTGGGGGTAGTATCGACCCAATTCTATCTATTATTGCCAATACCACATACTATTAAATGCATCCTGGGAATATCAAGATACCTCATCAATCATATGGTGTAAAGTCAACCGGATGTTCGAAATTCTGATGGCGTAAACTTTTTTGTCAGTAAAAGAGCCCAAGGGATTGTACTTGAGTTTAATTTCGAATATGTTCACACAAATAAAACGAATTTCAGGCTTTTTCTCAATGTCTGGTTACCAGGCWTACTGTCCAGCTAATAGAGTTGTCCGTTTAATAGATTGTACTTAATAAACATCTACAAATTGTGGGACCGTCTAATGTGCATGGGTAATGGAGATATCCGCTTAATAGAGTGCTCATTTAATAGAACTCTCGGTGTAATTTTTATTTATGAATTGTTTTTACTATCCTATCTTCTAAGTTGGTTCAAACTGGACACAGTGTGCTAAATTTTACTGAAACATYGTGACACGTAAGTTTTACATATAAAGATAGATCAAGGACTCACTTACTTTTATACTATCCGTATACTTTGCTTAATTTTTAAGATATGTATATTCAAATCAAGMAAAGAAGCTGATTCAAATATATTGGATCTATGAGGAGAAAAAAAGAGAAAGAATTCACCGAYTTCACTCTTCTTAAACGCAAAACCACAAAAGCTTTACTAATACTTCTTCGCCAGATCACTCATAGTAACCAACATAAAAGGCTTAAAGTTGGGTGGAACTTCGGAAATCACTATATGCGATATATTAGGGTTAGATAATCGTCTGCATTGATGCCAYTAACTTTTGCCATTACTCGTTATACGAGCAAGTTCAATTAATGTTGCTAGGACATCACACATATTGACCAATACATACATATAGTATATGGAATAAGGTCAACCGGAAAACTGAAAAGTACAAGTATAGAAAAATAAACAAAACCCTAATTGCTATTTCTTACTATTAATTACTTTGCTAATTCAGTTGTGTAGAAAATTCTTTGGAAAAATTGTTACTGTTCACTAATAAAACAAAAACTAATTTTTAGACAAAATGTAAATAAAATAATTGTGACAGCTGATTATAGGTATATCAATAATAACGGTTAATATAATATACACAACTATGGAGAGAMTAAGTTCAGGACGAACCAAACACCCTATACCTTTGCAACTTGTAAGATTCAAAGCTTATAGTGTAAAACTTTAACTAGAGGATCCGAATCTAAGCACATTTATATACACGATAAATTATACACTGACCGACATATTCGACGTAAGGTTTGTTAGAAAAACGAAAATCATTATATGAAGTATGTGGGAGTTGGGGCAGTATCAAACCCTTTTTAGGCATGATATAATATGTCACATACTAAAAATATCTTTCCTGATTTTCACTAATACATCTCATATACAATCACCAAACGTATGGAGTAAAGTAACCAAATATTCAAAAAATCTGATATTAGTTATAACGGGGGCTAGGTCTAGTATATTAGGTATATGGGAGCTCACTGAAGTATTGAACCGATTCAACCCATGTTAATACTATTATTAGGAAAAGTTCCCTCTGAATTTCAATTGTATATCCCATACATTGACCGATATTTTCGATTTCAAAAGTCAACTATAGATACTGGACCACATATTCGGTACCGACGGGTTTTAAAAGTTTTAGTTGGATTTGAACAATTTTCTTGGAAAGTGTACTGGAAACTGAACGAATCAAATGCAATTTAAAATTGTGGGAATTAGGCATGTCTGTAGGCCGAGTTCACCCATTTTCGCACTGCGACATAGCAATGTTAGAGGAATGCCACGGACTAAATTTAGTCCAAATCGGTTGTGTGGGTCCCGATATATGTGATTTCAACTAAAAGTGGGCGGTGCCAGGCCCTTAATTAAATTTTTCAACGGCTTCCATAAAGTAATCTCATACCATCTATTGTGAAAAAGTCTCTGACAAATTAAGTCATTGATTTATCGAACTTTAAGTAGTTTTTAACAGTACCATTATATGGGGAGTGGAAGGAGTTATCTTCCGATTTCATCCACGGACAAACGGACGGACAAACTACAATTGTTGCCATTTACGTGAGTACCTGACGACGACGGCTTTACCTTTTGGTGCTTTCTTTGAAGCACATAGATCATTACATTGCCATGATCAGCGCCAGAAAGTATAAATGCATTTTGCAGGTATATTTTGATACGAGCAGATTGGAGTAAAATCCAAGAACTAACTGCTCCCCGTGATAAAGTTAAAGTTTCTGGTAAGACATTGTAGCTTTTGCTACTACCAGTTGAACCCTCAAAACTCAATGACTGGTGACATTTGTCGCTTGAACAACAAAAGTCTTAATACTAGGAATAAATATAAAGCCTATAATATCATTTCAAGCTGAGTATTATAACACTATTTCTGACATAGAGCTGACATTTCAAGGCATGCCCAGAAAGAAAGACATAGTGCATATGCATTTTAGTCGCCTCTTACAACAGGCATGCCTTACCACTATTAAATTCTAACCCCTATCCGCAGGGGAGGACAGACAGACAGTCACTCGCCTCATCTTCCTGATCGTTTATACTTGGATGTATAACGATATATCTATATCGGTTAATTTTAAATGATACATGCAACCGTTAGGTAAACAAAACCATTATAATCTGTAGCAACATGTTACAAGAGTATAAAAATATGAACCATATTTGAGGGTGCCATGCGGCGAAGGGCGCAAGCTCTAAGTCAACCATATTTCCTGCCGAAAAGTCGAGGCAGACTTTTTGAAACATAAAATTTGAGACAAAATTGTACACCCGTTACTATGAAAATTGGTTACCACCTCATATAGTTAATATGTTGTTGTGAAATTTGTTCTCTTTTTTTTATTTGAATTAAAATAAACAATTATATAATCCGTTGTAGGCAAACATCTGTTTCTCTTACGCTCTTAGGCAGACAAAATGTACAATATTGAGCGTATATAAGGGCAAGAAAACGCCAATAGATTATAGTTGAAATTTCGACATCCAAGAAATTAAGAACYAATCGCTGAGCTCCATTAAGATAACTACAGTTCATATAAGAATGGCCAAGTTTATCATTTCAAGTTTCTTGCTGGTGATCGCAGCCTGCGTTTCTAACACCAACGCTGATGGAGCTGAGGGTGGTGTACCCACCACAATTTCAGCACATCCTTATGTCGTCTCGCTACAGAGTACTGACGGCACAAAAGTTTGTGGTGGTGTCTTAATTGATTCAAAAACCGTTGTCACTGCCGCACAGTGTTTGAGCTTCTACGACGTATCACAACTGGTGATCGGTGTTAGCAATGGCGCTAAAATTGTAAAAATTGCCAGCAGCACCTTCAATTCAGGTTTTGATTCCGTCACCATGGAGAATGATTTGGCCCTAGTGAAACTGGCTGAAGCAGTGAGAGTTGGTACCATCGCAGTGGCCTCCAAACAACCAAAAAATGGAATTAGTGGTGTGGTGACCACCTGGGACGCCAGCAACAACTTGGTAGATATTGC